AGCTCCGCGCGGCGGCGGCCTCGGCCGGCGGGCGAGAGCGGCGCGTGTGCTGCGCTCTTGCTGGGTGGCGGCCTGGACCGCGGCCGGGGGGGGGAGGGGCGCGGTGGTCGGCGTCGTGCTGTTCGGGCACCTTGGAGTGCTGCGGCTGTGGGGGCGGGGGAGGGCGGGCGGGCGGCTCCTCACCTGCCCCGGGACCGTCCCGGACTCCGGCTGGGTAGCGATGCTCACCTTGCGGTCCCCTGTGTGTTCCAGCTGAAGGAGAAGCTGGCCCTACTGAAAAGAGAATACAGCAGAATCTTTCACAGGCTGCAGGTGAGTCCCAGCTGCTGGATAGCATCAAAACGAGAGCCACAGCGGCGGCGAGAGTCAGGCTGCCGAGTGGCCGGCTCCTCGGTCTGGCGGGCGGAGGAGCTTCTCAGCCCACTTGTGCACAAAGCAGCGCAAACGATGGCAGAAGCCCGGCTGAGGAAGCACAGGCCTCACTGCCTTCATTCCTTGCAGCGTGCTGAAAGAGCGGAGAAAATGGACAGCGATGTCCCGAAAACCGTTGCAGAGCAAAACCTGCCGCGTAGGCAAGAGATAACCGAAGAAGGTAACTGCCTGGAATGGCTGGTGTGATGCTCCTTGTGCCTGCGTGAGTGTCTGTTCCTTGCACCTTTTCTAGCCCCATGCGGCCCCTCTTCTCCACCTAGCCCTTCTTAGTCATAGAATCCTCCTCCTCTTCCTAGACGGAGCATTTCTAAGAGGTTGTGAAAGAACTAAATTACTTGAACCGACATTTGGGACTCTAGGTAAGTCTGGAAAAGATTCTGATGAACCTGATTGCGTGTCCTAACCCTTCTTCTGCACCATGGCCAGTAGGCTGAATTGTTCTAGCCAGCTGGTCTGCTCTGCAGCTGGTTCTCACCACTTCCTCTCTGCTCATAGTAAGCTCCAGACACGTTTGTTCAGTTGGCTTCAGCAAGGTTGGGCTTGTCTTTGGGTAAGGGTTGGCTTAGTTGCCTTCTTTTGCTAAAAGTGTTGCTATTCTGCTGAAGGTGCCAGGATCAGTGCGTCGAGCCACACATCTAGGGTTCCTTAGAGAGCTAAAAACATGTTTCTGTTAAACCAAGTGTTAGTGTTCTGATTTCAGTTTTGTTATTGTTGATATGTATCTAGTTGTGGTGTGTTGCATGCTTCCTTGAGAAGGGAAAAGTAACTTAGGAACTGCAATTCCTTTCACAGGATCCATTAGCCAGACGTCCCCAGAGTCCTTGAAGTATGCCCCAGCTAGTATTTGTGCGGAGAACACTCTAGAAACGGCACCTGTCATCTTGGAGCCTGAAGTTACCGGCCAGGAATGTAGTTTGCCAAAAAACTCTGGCTTCAAATCAAACTCCGGCCATGTTTCTCAAAAGGGTCTCTGTAGTCTTGCAGGGCCTGTTCTTGAGCAAAATCAGCTTTTGTCAAAAACAAAAACCAAAACATGCACGAAACCAACAGAGACAGAGAGAGAATTTGTGTGTGAGGCACTTCAGAGAACTCCTGGATTCCAGTTGGAGCATAGTATGGAAAGTGTGAAGACCCCCGGCTCACCAGTCTTTAAGCGAAGGAGCTTCATTTTGGAAACTGAGCGTAGCATCCCAAAAGTCGCAGTGGCCTCTTTTGAAGGAAGAGGTAGTAATGCTTCTTTTGCCATGCCTTCAGAGGAACCAGATGAGGAAACCGTCTTTCCTGAAGTATCCCATCCGTGCGCTTATGTTCGGGTGTTTTCTGAGGAAGGCATCATTGCTGCTTTTGAAGATGTGACTGCTGAGAATGCTTTGTCACCCACAGACACATGGAATGAGGGGAAAGAATCTGCCCAGAAGGTAGATGAACAAACAGAGATGGGTAGAGAAGAGCCAGGTAGGAGTGAAGATTTAGCAGGGACCAGGGAAGCTTCCCAGGGGGGCAGAGCTGCCCCTTGTATGCGCAGGGATGAAATGCAGGAAGAGAGAAGTCAGCACAAGGAAGCTTGGAACTCAGACCTCATTAAAAGAGGCTCTTCCACCAACAAACCAGGTGACAAGGATTCAGGGGAACATCTTAATCCTGCTGCACCTGCTAAGACCACACTAGGCTCTTGCACAGTAGTTGAAGGACTCCTTTTCCCTGTTGAGTATTACGTAAGGACAACGCGGCAACTATCTAACTGCCAGAGGGAGGTGAACTTGGAGGCAGTCATTCAGAGCCAGCTGGGAAAGAGAAGGAAAAGACGGAGAACTGTGCCTAAGGAGAAGAATGCGAAGCTTGCCTTCCCCTCCCGAGAACACGTGGTAAGCGATGAGCTGCTGGGGGCTGTTTCTTTCTCAACCCCTGGGGCTGACGGGACCTCTGATACTTGGCATTCTCTGTCTCAGGAGAGCACTGCTTCAGTCACGGGCTTCTCTCCGAGTGAGGGGCTCCTGCAGTGGAGAAAAGGACAGCTGAGAGCGGGGTCTAATCACAGGGCCTCATCCTGCACGTCACACAAGACAACAGTTTCCAAGGCACAAGGAAAGAAAAAGAACTGCCAAGGCAAAGGCAGAGCAGTGGCGCTCCCTGCCAGGACCGGTGGCCACGTGGGAGCTCAGCAGAGTGGCAGCAAGAGGCTAGGGGAGTCTGTGGCTGAATGCCCCGGGGCTGCCTCAGAAGCTGCCCAGAATGCCCCTGCAGACCTGGTGACTGCATCAGCTTGCAGCTCTCCGAGAGGCCCGCAAGAGAGCTGCGAGGCGTGTCCTGAGAGCGAGCCTCTTGGGCCGGCTGGGGACTGGGACCACACCAACGCCAGGCTGGGACCAGCGGTGCAGGCAGCGTTGCCTCGGGGCGAGCTGCTGGCGGCTTCCCTGGGAGGTGCAGATGGCGGGCCGCCTCACGGTACGTCTCAGCCCAGAGAACAGCCCTTGCTCCGCTGAGATAGGCAGGCGGCTGCAGGTGGACCCTGCTTTGGCCCAGGAGGAGGACTCCCCGAGAGGCCGGCGGTTCATGGCTGGGCCACACAGCAGACAGGAGACGCTCTTGGGGCAGGGGCTGCACCCTTGCCCCTCTGCTTCTGGAGGAGTCCCCCAGTTCTCTGCTTTCTGGCTGGCAGGAGGAGTCCTTGGTGTGCCTGCTGCCCTAAGGCCCAGGCCCACTTTGAAGGCTCAGGTCTTAGGCTGCTGGGAGCCCTCTTGTGAACAGCTGCGTTAGGTGATCCGTACAGGCAGGCAGGCAGAACTCTGACCCTGCCGGTCTTGTAGCGTGTGCCCCTTTGCAGTGAACGGAAGCAGCTCGAGAGCAAGCCAGCCTTCTTGCGCAGCTTCCTGAGCAGTTGCTCATCACGGGGAGGATTTCGGGATTTCCACCTTGCCACCTAACAGCCTATTTTAGGGGTCTTCAAAATTTCCCCACTGAGTGGTTCCTGACTCTTCATAGCATGAAACTGCTGAGGGGTTTGGGGGCTTTGGATAATGTACTCCAAAACACAGTGGGACCTTTTGAAGCTGTAAATGTTTTCCAGGAGAATGTTGGGATACTCGGGAGCTTTAAAGTTACAGTGTCCAGGTGTGGGTGGGCAACCTGATGTACTTGAGATACGAGATGTACTCGTATTTTGGACTGTGATTCCCATAATCCCAGGCCACTGGCCATGTGAGCTGCATGTTATGGAAGTTGTGGTCCAAGCCATCAAGTTTCCGAGATTCATTCAGCAAAAGGGAATCTGGAGATTGTGCTTTGAAACAAGAGGTTATCTGCTGCTGATTTTGAAGCAGAATGGCTGTGCTATCCTAAATTATAAGTCATGGCTAAGTTATGTGCCCTGAAAAGCCACACTTCTGTTGTGCTTGCAGGTGGAAGAGTGAGCAGCCTGCATGGAGAACCTGAAGATCCTTCCCAGGGTCTCCTTAAGACCTCCTCGGCTGCCTTGCATCTCCGGAGTCGTAAGACATCTGACCCCAAGTGGCTGCCTCCCAGCATGAATCCCCAGGGATTCCATTTACCCAAAGATGAATTTGGCTGCCTTAAGGCAGAAAAACTCAAGCTGTGTGCTGTGAAACCGCTGGAGACTTTTCATGCTGATGGACCAGCCAACTGCCTCCACGGCGTGGGTGAGCTGTTTGCAGAGGGAGGAAATCGGGGTCTCCTTCCAGGCGTGAAAGAACCAGTGATGCCGCCGCCGCCGCCGCTTCCGCAGTGCTTGCAGATGAAGGGGCTTCCATCGAGCAAGCTGCTCCTGCCACCCGCTCTAGAGGATGTGAGCAGCCTGCTGGAATCCCAGCCGCCCACCCCCGTTTTCCCCACTGTGGGGCCAACCCCTGCCTCCCAGGCTTCGCTGCACAGTGAGGCCCTGCTAGATGCATATCCTTTGCAAGTGAACGCGGACACCGCGGGTGGACTGGGCAGCCCTGCGGATGCTTCTTTGCCAAGAAACAGCATCACAAAGTCGTGGCCACAAGATCAGAGTGGATCCTGGAAGCCTGAAGAGAAACGTGTGAGCCTTGCGGAAGCACCTGTCCCAGCTGGCGAGTCCATTGAGCCATCTAGTAAACAGGTAAATGGGTGGAGCCTTTGGGGAGCGCCAACCGCCTGCTGCTTCAAACCAAACTCATAATACGCCAGGACCCTCATACCTGCCGACTCCACTACTGCAGTTTCACGTGCCGGCAGTCGATGGTCGGCCCGCCACATGTGGGGGTTAGGGCCCTATCAAAGTGGAAAAGCGGCAAATCTCTATTGGAAAAATGTGACTCTCTCCAGGGAAAACTGAGTATCTCTGGGCAACTACTCACTCTGTTTGGGGACACCAAACTCTTTGTCTCAGTACTAGCCAGCCTCACATGGTTCATCTCTCAGCGGGCACAAAGACTCGAGAGGTATCTGCAGCTTTCCACTTTTGCAGGGCTCCTGCCCCTACAACCCCTGCAAATGTAGTGTTCACTACCGTTTGTGGTTTCATGCATCTGATGGGGGGCTTGGAACCTGTCCTCACAGATATGGGGCCCTGTTGTACTGATTGCCCTGAGGGAATGCAGGTTGGGATGGTGCTGGGAGAACCCAGATCGAATCAGTGACATGCAGGGAGGAACTTGTAAAGCCAGTGTTTTCTTCCCTGCCTCCAGAGCTCCAGAGCTTAGACCCAGTTTGGGATTCCCATGGCCTCCCCTTGTCTTTTAGCTTCTTCTTTCATCGTTTCTATGCCTCACCCATTCTTCTGCTTGTAACACCCACTCTTCCCCCTTGGCCATTGCTTACAGAGCCATTCCTTCATTCTGCCTCTGCTTCCTTGGTTTTCCTCCCTGCATTTCGTGCATCCCTCTTGCTTCCAGCCCTCCACCTTCTTGCCTGCGCAGCATCACTGCCTGTTCCTGGCAGCAGCGTTCTTCAGCCATGGGACTTGTGCAAGATTCCCCAGCCTTCCAAGTTCCTCACAGAAGCTGGATCGTCATTATTGTATGGCCGAAAGTTTTCCTTTGTGCAGTTCCAGTGTTCACAGCTATGTACCTACATTCCTGCACTTCAGCATGAGGCTGGGAGGCCTGTTCTTAGCGTAGTAGATAAGGAAGATCCCATATTGAAAAGCCAGCCTAGTCCTGCCTTAGCGTGGTCTTTCAGGTATTAGCCCTTAGTATGGGTGCAAAACATTGGACAGTCCAGGGGCCGCATGCAGCTGGAAGCATTTGCGCTTGCCTTCGAGTTGCAGAGGGGTAGGATACTTTTCAGACGGCTCAGATCTGAGACTGAGCTCAGGAACCTGTGTCAGAGTCTTGCAGAGCCATGGGGGACACCTCTTGCTTCTCTAGCAGCTGAAGCAAACAGGGAACCATTTCTGTGTGGATCACCACCATCTTTTGCTATGTTGTCTCAGAGTGAAATGGTGTCAGAAGATGTGGAACAGGCCCTGGAGCACAGCTGGGAAAGACAGAGCTTGCAGTTGACCTCCAGACTCAAGGTTAAAAGAAGGAAACAATGACTACAGTGCAGCTGAATTGTCGAAAATGCTGTAACTCATTCTGCATGCTTTAAAAAAATGACTTTCTCAGAAAATACTTATTGCTGAAAAAAGATACGATTTTGTTTTGAGTTTGGGCCCTGTCAAGACAGTGCTAGGAACAGAATTGTCCACAAAGATGCGAGTTGCCGTTCTGCTGTGCAATGGCGGCTGCTCTTTCCTCTGTTTCTGTAGTGACCTACAGCCAGAACTTTTTAGATGGTTCACAGCAATGCACTAACAGAGGCACAATAAGAAAAGTAAATTACTATAAAAAGCAAATAAAAATAGTATATATTTCAGACATGCGAAATTTAAAACACTTTAAGCAACTAAAACAATTTTAATAGACACTAGACTTGCAGTTGGAAAGCATGCAAATGCAAGTAGATAAAAAGGTACCACTTTGGTGGGCAGCTAACAGCGTTCCTGCACCTCCGTGTTTAGTCATGCCAGCCCCGTGACCACGGAGACCATCTGCAGACAAACGCTGGCTCCCTTGGCCAGGAAACGGAGATGAGCACCGCCCCCTGGAGTCAGGCATGACTGGACTTAATGTCAAGGGGAAACCTTTACCTTTAGACTTGTTAAAACGTCCAGTCATGTCCCATTAAACGTCTGGGAATATGGGGCTGCCTTAACTGGGCAGGAAAAGATGACACGGTTGGAACCTGGCTGGCCTTAGTAAGACCCTTCCACTGTTGGTGGGGCTGCTCTTTTCCCCTGTCGCTTTTTCTCGGCTGGGCTGGGAGGTGGAAGGTGGAGGAAGGCCTTAGAAGGGCCCTTGCTCAGTCTGAAGGGGCCGTGGAGAGAGCAGGATCCTTCCCGTGGCCCTTGAGGGCTGGTGGGGCACAGCAGGGCTGCGTGGCTACCCTCTGGCCAAGCCTCGCTTCCTCTCGCCTGCGCCCTTCGGCATGGAAAGGGCCGAGCCCGTCCCTGGAGGGGGTCTGCTGTCGGTGGGGGGAGACATGGTGGCTGAGCTGGCACACTTCCTGCCCTCCTTTTGGTTCGGACAGAGCCCCTGTGGCACCGTGGACGTGAGCACCGTGTGGTGGGCGGGCGCCGATGGCACGGAGCTGCGTGTCGTGACTGCGTGCGAGACGTCCGTTTCCCTCTGGAGGCTCCTGCATGCCGGTCGCTGGGAGGCGGCGTGCACGTGGCACTTTGCGCAGGTAGAGGGGGGCCGCTGCCGGGGGTGGCGGACTGGCCGCTGCCGGCCCTGCTGCCCGTGGCGGGTACCTGGGTGCTACTCGTGGCGGTCTGGTTTGCAGCTTACACAAGAGCAGAGCAGCAAGTGCAGGGTGTGCCTGGGAAGGCCAGGGCAAGGGGCTGTGACCCTGAGGGCACCCTTGGTCTCTGCTCGTGCGGCGGTCTCTGGGCCTGGGTTGTGCTCCCACCCGCTGGGAGCCAACGCATCTCCCCAGTCGCTCTTTTATGTCCAATCACTGACGCTGTCTCATTTGGGCTGGCAAAGTCAAGGGGATCTTCTCAGGGCCTCTCCTGTCCCACTCCGCTCATGCTCCTGGGCCAGATCCGCTCGTACCTGCATGGAAATTCCTGTTCCATCACCCCCAGGCTGAGTCCTGGTACAGAAAATAAAGAGTCCTCCTTCAAATCCTTTATGCAACCTGTTTCTCGGTGGCAGACCAGGGGAGTTTTGGCCTGGAAGAGGTGTGTGTGGAGGAGTAGGATCTGAATTCTGCTGCTCTGCTTCTCCAGGTTCCGGTCACTCAGATTGTTCCCCTCCCAGACGTCCACAACCGTGTGTGCGTGGCATTGGGAGGCCTGGAGGTCGCAGAGATTCGGTGAGTTGTGCCGTTCAGGGTGAGAAACAGACTGTGTTCTTAGTAACATCTTTGTGCATCTTGATATTTTTTTATTCTTTCAGGACCTCAGTAAAGCCTAAGTCTTCTGCTTTGCTGAAATTGTTCCTTCAGGCCAAGCAGGTTCTCTTAGCAGTTATTTCTTAGAGGCACGAAAGAGGGGAGAACACGAGCCTCAGCAGAGGAGCTTTTGGGTAAATTATAACACTTTGGCTACTCAGGATGACAGGTCAGCATGACAACGCCAGGAAGTCAGGGCCTTTCAGGTTTTGCAAGAATCAAGAGTTTTCTTGTTGCATTCTGTGAGAATTGAATACAAAAAGCCCAAATGTCAAAAGCCCTCCATCAGTACTACAAAAGTCCCAAGATGAATAATTTTGGGTGCTATGTCAAATAGTCTGTTTTTATATTGATCATTATATGCCGCTTCATTCCCATTGGCTCTGGATGGTTTACAAGAGATTAAAACCAACAGTAGAAAGCATTTCAACTAAAAAACAAGCATATTCAATAAAACTAATCTGGGAAGGCCTGTCAGAAGGGATATGTCTGTAACTGCCTCTTAAAGGTAGCAGTCTGGGGTTTCTCCTGGCAGGCCAATCCATAGTTTGAGGCAACCACTGAGAAAGTCCTCAGGGTAGTAGACATGAATCCCGCAGAGGTAAACTTCAGATTATCCCCAAAGGACCTGAGTGGGCAAGGTGCGACAGATGAGCAAAGGCACTTGTGGAGGCGTTTTGGACCCGAGTCATGATGGGCTTTCAAGGTAGCTACCAACACTGTTTGCTGCATCCAGAAACGCTTTGGCAGCCAGTGCAGACACATTAATATCAGGGGTAGATGGTCTCTTCAGCACGTCCCAGAGGTCAGCCTGGCTGCCGTATTGCGCACAAGCTGCGTTTTCCGGAGCAGGGCACAAGGGCGGCCTGTGAAATCGGGGCAAGAAGTCAGCCGTGTGTGCACCACTTTTTTCGGGTCACTTTCCTCCTCAAAGGGGATGGCGCTGTCTCATCGTGCCATGGAATCTTTACGAAGGCATTTAAAGCCACCCTTCTAGATTCAGTGGAACTTGATTACAAGTCTGAAAGCTACCAAGCACTATTTTCTCGCAGGTTCTTGTTTCATTTTGCTCAAGATGACTCTGTTGGACAATGGTTGGTCCAAGCTGGGAATATAAAAGCTGTTCTTGGACTGAAAAACAGGCGGCTGGTCAGCAGCTGTGGCTGGCTTCAGGACCAAACCGTGGCGGTCATGTCTTTCTCCGAGACAGGAAGGTGAGATCGGCGCATCTGCACTTCGGTATTCTGTGCTGCCCCGGAACGACCAGTCTGGAGAAATAAGAGGCGTATAGGAAGGGAGGGCGCCTGGGCGCGGCTGCTCTCCTGCAGCACCAGCATAGCCAAAAGGCCTCTTGCTGGCTTGTTCACAGCTTCTGCTTTGTGAGCTGAGCACTGACATCCATGGGGGTTTCTGTACATTGCAGAAGCAATGAGCGATGGGCTTTGATGTCGCCCGAAGAGACCATTTTGTCTTTTGCTGAAGTGGAAGGGATGGAGGAAGCTTTGGTGGGCATGACAACTCTGAACCATGTGGTCATCTGGTAAGCCTCCATTTGGTGGCTGCTGTGGCAGTCCTGTGGGTGTTCCAGGAAGTGTTGCGTGCCAGCTCCCATGTGCTCCTCAGCAGAACAGTGATGTGCTTTCTCTTTCTCCAGGAACTTGAGGACTGGGCAGCTGTTGAGGAAGATGTCTATTGGTTATTCTGGCCCTGCATGCGTCTGCCACAAGGCCTACTCCAGCCTGGTGCGTCAAAGTCAGCTGCTCGCTGGAATAGGCAAAGTTGCCACTTGGGCTCAGGGAGGGGCTTCTGGGTTCCAGGTTGTATTCACCCCACATTCCTGCATTTGCACTGTCTTCCCGTTTCCCTCTGAACACCATTCAAGGTCAGTTTAGCCTAGGAAGGGCTAAAGCACTTGGCTGTGCGCATTTGGGAAGCCTTGTCTTGCCTGTGTCCCACTGCAATCGCAGCGCTCAAGCGAGCGTGAAGAGCTGCATCAGAACAGCAAACCTGCCCTCTTTTCGGTGACATGTACAAGTCTGAACCTCCATACCTGTGAGGTAGAAAGCCTGCCAGGCACTCCTTGCTGGGTATGTTGGGTAGGGCCGCCTCCAGCCATGTGACTGATAAGGCCTCCACCTGAACATTTGAGATTAGCCTTTTTGTTAGGAGGATAAACTCCTTTTCCAGAGGACCACTTTGGGAAGTCCAGCTCAACATGTATGGCGGGTTTTCCAGTATGGGAGTAAGACCAACCTCAGGCTGGGCAAAAGATGCTTCCATGTAAGAATGTATGTTGAAAACTCAAGCAGAGAGGAGAGATCAGGTATTTTAAAATAAAATAAAATGAAAGCTAGAACTGCTAATTTGGTTCCTATTTCTGCTCTAGGGTCTCTTGTTTGTGATTTTAAGTCACCCACGCGCCAAGGAGAATGAGACATGTGGAAATCCTGCTTTCCAGATCATTGCACTCAATCCTAAAACAGCCAAGAACACTGGAGTTCTGTTCTTGTCCCTCCCGCCAGGGATCAGAGGAAGGCAAGTTGTTCCTTGGGAGTGTTTCTTTGGTCCTCTGGAAGACCAAAGGTAGAACCACAGATTTTGCAGCTAAGCGAGTGCATCGCTTGGACGGGACTTTTGTGTGCTGTGATGCTCCATGGCTCCTGAGCCCCTGCTGCCCGAGGCCATTCTGACCTGGGATGGTGTGTAGCAGGTGGCCTTGTGCAAAGCATGTACTCACTGCCGTCTCTAATGGCTCGGTCTTGCTGACAATTCAGCTGCAACAAGCTGCAGGCGGGGCACTCTGCAACTTGTGATTTAAATGCCATAGCCTCCTGGAGGCTGCTGTGGTGCCGCCTCCTTTCTCCCTCCTCAGGCCACCTCTGGATGCAAGTCCTCAGTTGAGCCTCTCCTCATGTGCCTTGCTGGGCTACGCACAGGATTCATTTTTCCGACCAGCTCTTCCATGCTCAGAGTGCTCTTGAGCTGTGGTTGAAGCAGCTTCCTTCCATAGCAAGGACCAGGAAGCCTTGGCCTGTAGCTGCTGCTTTAGGTTCCAGCGCCAAGTTCTTCCACACGAGCCTCATTGGAAGCCACTCCTGTTCAAAGTAACATAGAAACACAGAGAGTAAGAAGGGGCCTCCCGGGCCATCTAGTCTACTCCAGCCGGCTCTGCTCACGACATGCCCACCATGTGCACGTCCAGCCTATCCTTGAACACGTGCACCGATGGGGCCTCAACCACCTCCCGTGGAAGCCCATTCCACACCCTTGGGGTCCCAACTGTCAGGAAGTGCTTCCTGGCATCTAAATGGAACCTTGGTTCCCTGCGCTTTGCTCCGTTGGAGCATGTACTGCCCTCCTCTGCAGGGGAGAACAGGTCTCTCCCCACCTCCGTGTGACACCCTCCTCCCATACCTGCATGTCACCAACATATCCCCTCTGAGTCTCCTCTTCTCCAGGCTGAAGAGGCCCAGTTCCCTCAGTCTCGCCTCATACCCCATCCCTTTAAACTGGCCACCAACCTTGTGACCCTGCGCTGCACTGACTCCAACCTGGCTATATCCTTCCTGTAATGAGGGGCCCAAAACTGAGCACAATACTCCAGTTGCAGGCACACCAGTCATACAGAGTGGTAGTAATACCTCTCCCGATCCAGAAGCCACACTTCTGGCTATGCAACCAAGGGTGGCCACCGCATCACACGGCTGACTCATGTTTAGCTTGCATTCAACCAGCACCCCAAGGTCCCTTTCACAAGATGGCGGAGAGCACTTGGATGTAAGCGGGCACTTCTAGGATCCTGCCTTTATTTGGTTATAGATAAGCTGACTTGTCTAGTTGTGAAAAAGGTGGCGGCTGGCAGATGATGATGATGTTTTGGCGCTAGGTACTTGGAAGGCGGAGTGAGGAACACCCTTGCAGCGGCTGTGCTGACATCGGGAACCATTGCCGTGTGGGATTTATTTCTGGGCCAGTGCACAGCCCTGCTGCCTCCTAACCCTGAGGGAAGCTGGTCCCTTGCCAAGTGGTCAATTGCAGACACTTGCCTGCTGGCTGGGCGAAAAGATGGCAGCGTTTACATCTACAGTTACACAGTGTGCCTGTCTTCTACTTGAGGAAGTCATCACTTTTGAGAGGAGTTGCGTGGCCAGGATTCCCTGTGCTGGATGAGCTTCTTGCTTGGAGTTGGTTCCATTTCTCTGCAGGACACAAGGAATTCCAGCAATACTGCGGGCTTCATGGATGGATGCTAGGAAGTGCCAGCTCCATTTTCACCAGTCTGGTCTGAGACAGTTCAAAGAATTGATATGGACCATAATCCACCCAGACTATTTCCTTTACAAGCTGTACTAGTTGATAAGAGCAGCACAAAAGGCAGGTCTTGTACAAAAATGATGGCTCGACTTTTTCTTCAATTGTTGTTTCTCACCTCCCCATTTTTTGCAGGAATTCTGTAATATTCTACTATTAAAACTCCTTTTAAAACAGACAATAGTGTTCACATTTTGGGGTGGAGGGATATTTCTGTCAGTAGAGAACAGTTACGGTTAGGCGGCAGTATGTTTCTTCCCTGTAAATATTTATGTCCTGTCTTTCAGGTGCTCAGCTGGCTTAGAAGTACCATCAACCTGTGTCACCGCACAGTGTTTAGTGTAGCTATGACAGCAATGGGCATCTCCTCCTCCATTTTCAGTAAGGGGCAGAAGGAAAGGCTAATCACAGGACAGCAGCGGCGGAAGGGGCCAGAGGACCACCGGGGCTCCCAGTGGAGCCACCCCCTCAGAGAGAGGCCCAGTCGCGTCCTGCGAGCCCCCGCGTGGGAAGGCCCACCGCCTCCTGCCCGGCCGTTGGTTTCCTAGCAGCTGCGCCCCCCGCTCCCGCAGCCGGGGACTCCCTCCTGGGGTGGCCTGGCCTCATTCCAATGCACCGCAGGCAAAGGCGGTGCATGCACGCGGGGGCTGCCATTCCTGCAGCGGGAAGCTGGGGATCGGCGTTTGCACGCCTGCAGCTTCCCTCCCACCCCCTCCGTTGAAAACCAGTTGACTGGTCCGAGGTTGGCTGGGGGCTCCGGGGGACCGCTAGACGGAGCCCGGCCGGGCTCTGGGGGCTGGCCCGCTCACCCCACCCAGGCTCCGGCGTGGCGCCCCGCCCTGGGGCGGGAAGCGCGATTTGCCTCCCGCGCGCGGGGCAGGTGCG